TAGTAAATAGAGTTTTGTGTTGTTAGTATTTAGTTATATTATTTTCTCAATAATCACAAGTCAAAATTATTTAACGGCACGTCTGTGCCTCATTAAACACTTTTTTAGAAAAAAACGGCACGTTGATCCATAAAGGTTCGCCACCCCTGTCCTAGGGTGTCGGCCACCCGAGTGCACAGGCCTAATGTGCCGACCCTCTAGAGAACTTTTCGTATTTTGACTAATACTTAGCGTTATGAACTCATCTACCTGTAGAAGAGTAAAAAAAAACATTCATAAAAATGTAAATAGACACACAAATCACTTCTTTCCTCTATTTGGTTTTTCTGAATTGTAAGGCTATTATTAAATTGGAAACTTTAATTTCTCTCAATGCGTATTGAATTGAAAGACTCCTATATCTTTGATAACATTAACCTTTTAAGATATTTTCGTAAAGTAACTTTAGCAAAAATCATTTTTGAGACGCCTTTGTTAAGCATCCATCCACAGTACCTCAGATCAGCAAGAAAACCTTTTTTTATAACAATATTGCAGGCTCTGCCACGAATTTTTCTATCAAATGATGGATATGTGTAAAGAGTACCCTAATGGGCCAACTCACTGTGAACACTAACATTCTATTTTTCTTAAACTATGCTATTGTGTCGGGATATCTGGCCCTATTTGGATTTTTCGAGGACTGTTTGAAATTCATCCTATTTATTCGACTTATTATAAGTATTATTTTGAGAAATTCGTTACAAATTTGGCTTGATTCATAGAATTATATGTAGCCGCCCCTTGATTTGACCGCCCATGTGCGGTACACGCGCTGCACACCTGCTAGGATCGGTCCGGCTGGTTATTATATCAGTTACACTCATAGCAATTCCAGCCGAAAATGTTTTATGCTGTATAATTTTTACGTTAAAATCCCATCGTGTAGAAAAACTGATGACACGTTAAATTCTATAAAGGCTCATATTCCTCCTATTGGCGTTGTGTGAAAGCTTGGAGAGGGTTATTAGTTTTAATATAACCCTCGTCACTTTATGGAGGTTCAAGATGTTGAGGTCAGGTGCCAACGTCTAGCATGCATATAATGTGTCTCTGTCGCAAGGAAATGAATAAATTAGGGATTTCATCAAATCCCTGAGGATCAATTCACGCAAGATGATAAAATAACGTCTCTTTAAGGTCATTTCCCTGATGTAAGTTTGTGATTTCGCGCTTCCGCACCACAGGTTCGAGGTTCAAACCCCAGGCTGGGCAAGGTTGACTCAGCATTTCATCCCTTGAATGGGCCGATAAAATGAGTACCAAGCCGGGGGTTTTCACGTAAGACTGACCACCTGACCGGAACATCTGCTCATGCACCTGAGGGCCCAAGTTCGAGTATACTGAGTTGGGTACAGTTGGTCTTATCCCTCATGGGATGTAGCGCCACGGAGTTAAGTAAGTGACTTGATCAAATCCCCGAACTGTTTCAGTGAAATGATGAAATGAACAAGTCAGCCTTTGGAGAGCTCTGTTTTCACTTGTTACCACTCTCTTTTACCTCACTCCTCTCCTCGTCCGTGCCAGGCAGCGCTGGGCTTTTGACGTGACACTCCAAAACCAAGTGACCTAAATATCATTTTTTAGTTTTATTTAGTTATATTCTTTGAATTATCTTTCGATTGATATATAACTTTTGTATGCCTGAAAATAAGTAATTGGATAAAACTTCAATTGAAAAATGTAAACAAACAAATTAGGGAATTCGACCACTGCCTCTTTATAGATAAAAAAAGCTTTTTGATAATAAAAAAAGCTATTTTAAAAAGGGAAATAATAACTGGAAAAAAAAGGTGTTACAAATAAAGCAGAATATTTTTGAAGTACTACATTAGTGTATAATTTTTTTAAAAAATGTTTGAAATTCTACTACAAATATCCTTTTAAAAAAATACCAGCTTTGTTATCGAATTATTTTGTTAATTAATTTCAAATAAATAATTTGTAATTCAATGATTATTGTTGTATTAATTACTCTACTTTTAATAATGCACCCTATTTGCTAAATGAACACTTTTAAACTCTTGACAATATTATTTCATCATTTCACTGAAACTGGTTAAGGATTTGATCAAATCACTTACTTTCCTCAGGGAAATCACCTTACAGAGTTCTTAATTTAACATTTTGCGTGAATTGCCCTCAGGGATTTGATGAAATCTCTAATTTCCCTGCGACATACAGACAGGGTGACTCGCTATCCTACCAACAAACTAATAGAATGTGTAGGGGCACAGAGACGACTCGGAGTCCTATAGGAATAGAAGAGCTGTGATGCGAAGAGAAGCGGAGAAAAAGAACAGAAACAAAAACACATTAATGAGGCAGAAAACATTGGATTGAGAAGTTGTACAGGTGTTCGAAAGTACATGAATTGCTTCTTCTGGGTTCGCATAGAGTTTGGTGTACGAGACGCCTGTTCCTCCAGTCGAAGGAAACGCTCGAAAGCTGCCGTGAGGATATGTGACATGACAGGAATCTTCCAGAACGTAAGGAATTCTACGCAGCGTCACTGTCAGGCCTAGCAGACGACTTCTGGCCGTAATTTCGATCGCCAGTTGTTCGAACCAGATCATCAGAACACATTTTCAGTAAAATGTGTTCTGTCCCATTAATGTGTTGCTATTTTTGTTCTATTTTGTTCCTGCTCGTAACTGTGGCATTTGCGACCCTTCACTCCTATGCAATTCTGAGTCGTCACACACGATGCATGTTTGTCGTTCTGGTAGCGATTCACCCTATTCTATAATCCCTGTTCCTAATTCCCCTGTTCCTATTCGTCCTGTTCCCTGTTCTAATGTTCCCTGTTCGATTCCTGTTGCTATAATAATAAATGGATGCTAGTTTGATATGACGGGGCAAGGCCCCAAGCGCTGATTGGCGCGAAAAAGGAATCATGCCAAGCAACGCTTGTTGTCGCTAGAATGGAATCCAAGAGGGTGACCTAGGAGTATCAAATCGTTAGGAAGATAATTTTAAAGAATTGCTTAGAAATACAATGAAATATATTTCAAAAGAAGAATATAGAAAGAGATTGAGAATAATCTAGGTCAATCAATAAATAATGAATAATAATATAAAATAATAAAAAGTAGCATGTGCTAATAATATTATGCAGTATATAATAATCTTATAATTCAATTGTAATTATATATGATATTCATATAGTATGATTTAATAATAATTTTATATAATAACAATTACATAATATAAATAATAGTAATTATAAAAAGGAATAATCATCGTATTGTAATAGTATAAAAACTATACATAAGAATACTCATATAACATAAAATTACAAATAAATAATATATTAATAATTATAAATGGATAACAAAATAATAATCATAAATAAAGAACATAATAAATATAAATAAGTAACATGTAATAGTATTTATAAATAAAAATAATAAAAAAATAATTATAAATAACGAATATTATGATTACATATAGTAATAATACTTGTTTTTATTATATTAATTAAATAATTACATAATATATATTAACATTAATAACGAATATCAATTAAAAAGTACTGGAAACTTTCAATATTACAAAAACTGCAGAACTATTAAGATAACCCTATTATAATGTTGTCGCCCAACTTGGCGCGTGCCCCGTGATATCAAACTAGTTTCATAATAATGGTATACGAGAATCAATTCTTCAGTTCAAGAGAAAGATCCCATCCACTAATATAATGAGAGTAATTGTGTGTGATTGGTTATTCATCAGCGTCACTCTTATAAGCAACACGAGGGCTATTGGCAACGGTCGGCATAATTCTGAACAAAATTCATTGGATGAGGACGGCCCCTGAGCTCCCACTCAACTCTCCTAGCTTAAAAAAACTTAACGTAAGAAATTTCCGCAACGATAGATTTAGCTTACCCCTCTACACGCTGGGTCTTTAGGGGCATCTGGATTCGACTCGAAAGGAGTAAAGTCTACCAGGATCTTGCGATAAGTAGAATAGTAGATGAAGATGCTGATCGCCGTGAGATATTGGTAAGATATTAATTATAGAAGTGCAATTATAGAACGCGGACTTTAGTGTATTAAGAAAGCTAAGGTAGATAAAGATTCTGAGGTTAATTTCTCATAAAGATAGTGATTAGGATTTCAGGCGCTATTTACTTAGAGTACAGAATTACGTTGTATCACTCCTGATTACATTCCTATAAGTAAGACGTGTGTTGCGTTGATCAATATATATTTAGACATAATAAATTAGTTAGATTTATTATGGAAAATTTGGGTGATCAATCATTTATTCCTACAAATCTAGGTTGCGTGGATGAAGAGATGATACCCCAGGGCCAGGGGGTATTATATAAAACATATATTTAATCAAAACTATTAATTCAGTTTTTGTTGTTGTTGTTATTCAAGGATATTAATTTAGTTAAAAGCGAAAAAGATGTTAAATAAAAGCAGTAGAGGCAGGATTCTTAAGAAATCCCACAGTCATGTATTGTGAGTCGGGAACGGTAGTTCGAAATCTTAGGGGTTCGCGATGTCAAGTTGATACATAAAGAAGGGCCAGGGTGATCGATAGTTTAAGATCCGACAGCTGAGGGTATTCAAACTTTGATTTATAAGGAATGAAAGAGGAAATCCTCCTCCCCCAACCCCCAATATAAAGCCTCTTAGAAGAATATATCTCAAAACATGTAATATATTTAAAAAAAATTATTTTTGAGTCAATTCCTACTTAGGTCAATAAAGAAAAATTTTATTTTAATTACTTTTTATTAAGTAATTACCATTAATATAAAAATATGTATATACATAGGACTGAATCACACTAATAAGTGGCAAAATAGAAAGCAATTTTCCATTTTCCTTTCTGTATAGGGTGAGGGACTATTATTTTTGTGTTACTATTTATTCATTAATTAAATTTAATTATTCTAATAAAACAGTATAATAAACAGAAATCACACTCTCAGAAATGAGGCCATCCCAGGTGGAATTCGAACCCACGACCTTTGGATTAAAAGTCCAACGCGCTACCCAATGCTCTATAGGGACACAAAGAGCAATTTTCCTTTTTGTATATGCTGTTGGACTATTATTTTTGTTTTTTATTAATTAATAAATTAATATTTGAAAAAACTGTATTAACATCAAGTGTCACCCACTACAAGTTTAAAAAAATGTACTTGAACTTGAATGGATGAATAGAAAGTATTTTATCAACAATTGAAAATTTGATCAAGATATATATAGAGAGAGAGTGAACTAATAGTAGGAATTGAATAACATTTAAAGAGAGAGAGAGTTGCTGTAGGTTTTTAAAAAGATAATCAAAGAATACTCTCTATTTTTCATTACAAATTTTAACATAATTTTAATATGATTTACTCATTAATTCACGCTCCAGGTGTCATCTGCTCTTGTATTCTATTTATTAATTAAGATGTCCGCTTGCACTTTTTTTGTACCCTGGCTATCGAAGTGAAGGTAGATTGAAATTACCTGTTGTCGTATCTCATATTCTACATTTTGTTTCTGTTGCCACATACGTAGAGAGAAATATTTTAAACATAAATGCATTTCTCTCAGAGTGGCATTAAAATGCTTATAGCTTTTTGACAAATTTCTGTGTATTCTGAAAATTTTTAACCTGAAATTAAGGAATTGTTCCTGCTTAAATTTAGACTTTAACATCGAATCTGTTGATCGATTGGTAAGTTGTTCCTTTTTCATTGGCAAGCCTTCTGATGGATCCCTTCATGCTTGCAGTACGTGACTTTTTACGAAATTTAAGATTTTATTTTATCTATAAAATATTTATTTATATTTATTTTTACAAGCAAACTGCCTTTAATAATTCAGTCTTTTATAAGAATTAAAATTTTGGAAATTTGAATAAGAAAATAGCGATCCCCCTTGCAGAACCCCTTTCAAAATTCCAGAGAACCCACAAGTTGAAGGCTCAGAGGATTAAAATGCCAAACTGCGTCAAAAAAAATGTGTCAATACTTTCACACTAATTTTTCAGACTTTTAACATGTCATAGAAACGAATTATAAAGCAAAATTATTGAAATTAACATCTAGATGCATTGATAGTTTTCATTAATATTTTTTACAGCGCAATTTATCTTTTTACTCTCTCATATATTTATTTATTTAATTAGAATTAAAATAATTTTCAAAACTTTCTCCTTTTTTTTTTCTTTTTTTTTTTTAAATTAAAATAATTTCCAAAACTCTTTCTTTTTTTCCCCATGAAACTTGGCATTCACTTAAAATAATATTCGTAGATGGCGCCACGAAAATTGAAAAAGGGACTTTTTAAATAGATTTCCCGCATTAACCGACGAAAGTGCTGTATTTAAAAAAAAAAGTACCTAATAAACAAGAAACATCCAATGCCACTTCTCGAAGATTCCTTTCAAGAGGTGATAAGTAGACTTTCTTGAATAATCTTTTTAACAACTGCAAAGTGTTTTGTCAGTGGTAATATCACAGTGGTAACAAAGACGTATTCTATGAAGTTTGTTATAGTATTGGTAATCATATGAAAACGTCAACTGATGTAGAAATTGTGAAGGAGTGTTTCTTAAGTACTTCTAATTTAGTGTTAGAGGTAAAATTAAAAATATATATATATGAAATATAATAATTAAAAAGAGCAAAAGAAGAGTTATAATATTTTGATCAATTTTCCACTTAAAGCATTTCTCCCCCTCCCCTCCCCCATTTATCCTCATGGTGCGGCCCGCGTGAAATAACTAACATATGAATACGGCCCGCGTAAAATACCTGACATATGTATGCGGCCCAGTATCTCGACAGATTTAACGTGCATTTATCGGATTCAAAGCACAGTGGATGGGGATATCTTTCGATTGAAAATAGCGATTTCTATTCATATTGCCGTATCAAATGTATTTATTATCAACTAGTAGAGTTTTAGTAATATTATTTTTAATACATTTCTTTTTTGAGAGAGGCGACAGGGCTAACTTAATTTTAGTTATCATTTGAAACATGTTAGGAAATATTATTGTTAAAAGAATCAATGTTAAAATTATGTCTAAATAATTGATAGTTCAAAAAACTAAAAAACACGCTTTTATTGTAGATCGTTTTTTGTTTGTTGCACTTGTATTAGCCATGACCGTTATCGCTTTATGGTTGTAACTTAATCTTTTAGTCGCCTAATTTGGAATTAATAGCCAAATCTGGAAATTTGATCTGAAATGAATCGCCAAATCTGGAAAAAGGAAATCGTTAATCCTGATGATTCTGATCAGGACAATGGCACAAAATTATTAAATTATTGTATTGTCATTGGTCCTTAACCAGTATGCAAAATTTCGAATTACTCTCAGCTTTTAAAGTGGGTAAAAATCGAATTCAAAGATTCCGTTACATACAGGTGAAGCTAATAAAAGAGTGTTAAGGTATCTGACTAGGTTCGCGCGGAGACCAATTTTCAAAAGTTGATTTTCAGAATAATTTTATTGTTTTAAAGAACATAATTAGGCTTAAAAAGCCGTAGTTATATTAAATACATAACATGTATTACCTTTTGTTTTGGAAAAAATATTATTTTTAGGAAATTTTAGCAAACATTTTCAAAGTAATGAAAAACGCCATAAATGCACATGATGGAATTTGAATTTCTCTCATACACTTCTTGATCCATCTGAAGGTTCACAAACCGCAGGATATAAAAAACATTTTCAGAAATAAATACTTAATAAGCATTTAAATTTGATGTTAATGATTTTTCGTCAAAATTACTGTATGTTCTAGACTAAAAAATAGCTGTAGAATGTGATTAAATGTAACTAGCTGAAAATCTGCGGTTTGTTACACTCTGAAGAGATCATAACATATATGTTGTAAATTTAATTGAATTTGATTGAATTGTTTTGGAGATAATCCATTTTTCGTGTACAAATTATCGTAAAAATTTCATTCTTCAAAAAATGCATTAAAAAATATTCTTATAAATTAAATAAAATAAATGCTATAAAAACAACTTAAAATACTCTCTAGTTCTATGTATTAGTGCTTCTTTCTCGATAATTATATTGCTTTTTTTCCCTAATGGCTCAAACAACACCAAACATCGAACACTTAAAAAGCACTTTTTCAACCTAGTCGGATGCATTGATATAGGGTGAACCAAAAGTCTTTTCCCGATTACAAATATTTATTGTACTCAAACAACTATAGTTCGTCGTATATTTGTAAGTACTAATATGAATTTTTTGTAAGACCATTTACCTAAGTAGATTTCAAAGCCCCTTCTCTCTAGGTAGCTCAGAGAATGTAAAAGCGGTACTCCAGTTCCCATCAAGTATTCTTTAACCCTTTCGCGGGCAGTGGCTAATAGGTATAGCCATATAACAAAAATTTTTTCTCCGGTCGGGCGGTGGACCACATGCGTTCATTGAAGCTAAAAGGCATGAAAATCAATACAGATGGCAGCACGATATCTTTTTTTGCATTTCGTGTCCTCTGATAAGTAGTTAGAAACAGTTTTTCTCTGTGTAAATCTACAAATTTTATTTTGATTATTATAAGTAAAATTTCTGATATATGAAAAAAATTTCGAAAAGTGTTAAGTATACTTTTCTCTAATCTTAAGGAATTAAGCAAATGTGCCATGAAAAAAAAAGTGTGTGTGCTTATGGCCACACGATAGAAGTGATAACTTCAAATTTTGTAATGTTATTTCAGGGATTAGAGTTAGGTGAATAAAAAACGAGAGGATATTATATTGGTATTGTCCTATAAAATTATTTATTCATATGTCTGTACACATAAAGTAATATTTTTTGCTAAATATACATATTTGTGAATTAATTGTATTCTAAGAAGGAAACAATAGGCTTAGGGTAGCTGAAATAGGTTATAAATACTTTAGATTCAAAATTATTTAAATATCTAAAAAAAACTCCGTCAAGCGTTGTTCCGTACTTTGTCGTGCTTTCGTTTGGATCATTTGACATAATTAAATTGAATTTTGATTTTAAAAAATCTACTAAAGGTTTTGATTTGTGTTTTGAAAAATCTACATAATACCTTAATATGATAAAAATATTTGCACATTTTTTTAAGTTTTAAGGGAAAATACAAAATAAATCAAAAGTAAAATCACAATTACCGTTTGCAGTTTTAAAAAAATGAAGAACAATTGAAGAAATTGTATGTGTGTGTTTGCTGATTTGAAATTCAATCAACTATCTCTCTTCGAAAAAGAGTATTTTCTGATGGGTCATTTCAACCCTCTTTTTATTAGCCCTTGATCAGGTCATAAAATAATGTGTTTCCGTTGGGGGACTTTGCAGAGGGAGCCCTTCCAGAGAACATTTTCCCACGGCGGTATTTTTACCAATAAAATGGACTCTGCCTGCTTTAGGAATAATCCGAATATTTTCACTGATTTTCTAAAAACTTTGTTGACGAGAAACAATTTACTATACGAGTAATTGTCTTAAGCCAGTCTAATGTTTAAATTTATAAGTAAATACAGAGAAATTTTTCAATACACATGTATAAAAAAAGGGTAAAGAATATTTTTTTAGTAAAATATTTAATTTTTAATGATACAAAGAAGGAGAAGACTGGAGAGCTGCAAACGTCTCTTAAAGTACAGAGTAAAAAAGCAAACCCGCACAAAATATTTAGCAGCTTGGATTAATGAATCTTATTGACACGATAATTTAATAATAAACAAGTAAATTGAAGAAGGGCGTGCACATAATTTTTTATGGGGAAGGCGGATGGAATTAAGTTTTTTTTTTTTAAAAAAAAAAAAGATAAAAAGGGCTGAGCCGTAGTCTTTATGCTAAAGATTAAAAATCTGTTGGTGTATGAGGAGGGGATAGGAAAGAATCGAACCCTCGGCGTTCTTGTGAACAGATATCCTGCTTAGAATCTAAAGGGAATCACATGATACCAAAAAGAGTGTTGTAGATTGCGATAAAGCAATGCTTCTCAAACTTTCAATATTTGCGACCCAATTTTCAGTCAGAATATTCATCGCGCCACCCCTTCTTATAGTAA